TCTTAAGTTACATGATGTGAGCACTATATGTATTAGATATACGCTATACACATAACATGTCAAGTGTTAGCCTTTATCTGATGCTGAAAGATTGTATGAAAGGGAAGTCAAAAGCAGGTCTGACTAAATTAATAACTTTTTGTCTAAATATTAAAAATCACACACCTTCCTCCCCAGGACTCAAAGTTCTTTGAGATGTAACGTAGACTACTGCTGATAACATCAGTCTGTTTCCAATTATCTGTCTGTCTCTCTCTCTGCTTATCTATCCCCTCCCTCCCTCCACCCATCCCCGGGTAGTAAAAAGAAACAAAATCAGATCTACTGTGTTGGTTTAGGAAATTGCCCAGCAGAAATATTAAAATTTAGTAGCAGGAGATTTTAAGGTAAAAATAAGTGAACATGATTATACTTTCTATACCCCTCAGTATTGGCCCATGGGTAACACTGATGAAGTAAAGTCTATTAGTAACAGGAAATCTAAAGATGCATTCTTCAATCAAGGTTGATAAATAGGGGATATATACTTGTATCTCTATGAAGGGTAGTAGTGTGGTGGACTACCTGATGGCATATGGTTGTTTATAGAACTATGTTAAACATTTTCAGGGTGTATTTCAACTTTTTCATGATCATCAGGCCCTTACTACAAACTGGCCATAATTTGAGGCTTAAATTCATAAAGCATAATTCCTAAGCCAGTGGTATGTTCAGGAAGGTGGTGGCTTAGATGGATCATTATACTTAAAAGTTGTTCAGCACAACATGGTAACAAATTCCTGATTTCTTTAAATTTTGTAAAGTTATAGTTTTGATTAAAAAATGAAATATTAGCAAGGAAAGATCAGAATTATGACATTCAAAAAATATTCAAATATTGTTCCACTGAGAATACACAGCTTCAAATAAGGATATAAATATATTTTGGGAATGGATTTCTGAGTTCCACGAAAATGGACTGTACAGTGTCTCGGACATCAACAGTGAATTACTCCAAAAACTAATTTAAAGAGGTACATCTGAAAAAGACACTTCAGAAGCAAGTGTGCAATGGGGTGTTATTTTATAAGAGAGATAACATCAAGGAAATATGCATTGAAAATGAAAAGATTTAAGACTTGTGCACTTGACAAATAAGATTTCCAGGGATTAACATTAACATCGATGTGCAGAAAGGGAAAGTGTAGAGAAAATGTATAAATGAGGGAAAAAGGTACAGATATGTTTTGATTACATACAGACTAGATTACTGGCATCCATGGCATCTAAGAAGATGTGTAACTAATATCGTAGTTGTTTATATTTGATTTAAATACATTTTCTACTCTCAGTTCATGATGGTTCCCATGACACTTTGAAGCCTACCCTATTTGGCATTAGAGCTCTTAATGGAACTCTTCTTGCTTGCTGAGATGTTCATGGAAGACTCTGCTTTGTGGCCTACTTCATGTGCAGTAAGGGGCTGAGGATATTGGTCCAGGGGTAGCTTTGGAAGCCCATATAGCCCTTCCCTCCACTGAGACCATCTATAGTCTTTTTATTGTGAGTGATTTCTACAAAAAATATAATGTCTGGCTACAGGAAGAAATGGAGGAGAAGCAAAGGAGCAGAATATATGGTGGAAGCAATACTCACATGCTCTAAAGCACAGGACAATTGGTGATGATTATCCAAATTGCAGCATTCCTCAGCAGCGTGTGTGAATTCTTTTGTGAACTCAATCAGTTTTGAAGATGGCAGCTGGGGCATAGTCTTGGTATACTTGACCAAGAGTCTGCAAACAAGGCCAAAGGGTATACATTAGAAAAGTGGGATGCTCTTGATTATGGCAGTTTTGTAAAAGCACTAAAGGACACTCGGGAAAAAGTATTGCTTTCCTAAAGCTGAGGACTGAATTACAGGGTTTTAGTAAAATCCAAACATTTGTTCCCTTTGTACAAAATTGAACGTCCCTGGCTACACAAACACACCTCCACCATTGCCTTCGGTTTGTGACTTAAGAGATGGACCTGAGGAAGTATTCTCTTTAACTTGTTCAAAAAATGTGGGGACAGACATTGTGATATTTTATTCCTTTGGTGCATCTCAGCATCTTTTTAAACCTATGAAATTTTAATGTAAGTATTTTGTTTTAATATTTTAACACTACAAAAATCGATTCAAACTTATAACTAAATTCTCCACTCTATTCACAGGCAGCAAAGCTTTACAAATGACTTTCCTGAATACTCTTCAGAAAGACTGAAAATCTGCAGAAGTTCAGGAGAACCTGAAGAAATCTTAAGCATTTGGTGGAATATTATTTTCTGAGGAATTGCAGCCTTTCCACTCTGGGTCTCCACTGCCCCCTCCCCCTGCAAGTAGACTGCATGCATCCATAAATGGCTTCGCTTATTGAACAGTTCCCCCTACTTCCAAATTTATCATTCAAATAACAACATACTCGTTTTGGAAGAAGTAACCTCCTATTTTTTTATACTGTTCACAATTTTTCTTCACAACCTCCTCAATCTTAGGAATGAACGATTCAAGTATGTCTTCCTGAAAGAAAATGATTTTTGTGAAATGTCTGCAGTAACAGTGAGCACACTAGGGAGAAAAAATAGAAACAATGTTGGGAGAAACTCTGAGAAATATATGCAATTCTTACCCTGGGGGAGACAAGTGATTTTCAAGTTAAATGAAATTTGGATGTGTAAATTTGGATTCTCCCAATTTTAGAGGCAAATGACTGGCATATAAAGATGACCTGGTCTTTTTAGTGAGGACGAAGTGATTTTTAGGTTATTACAATAACTAAAACCTGAAGTTTTGCCTGGAAATGAAAGCAGTGCAGATGGTACACACAAGACCTGAATAATATTATCAGAAATGCAAATACCAGAAATGTGTCTGGCTACTACACTTTGCACCAGTTATCACTTCCAAACACTCTTCAAGGGCAGCTCCACTCCATCCCCCCTGACTTTGGGAGCCCAAATCCTCCATCTTTCCAAGCAAAATAAAACACCACACCACACAACACAACAAAACAAAACAAAACAAGACAAACAAACAAAGGGGGGGGGGAGGAAAGAGCAACACACACTGAGCCTGAGGGTGACATTTTCCATTCTAGGCATGGCATTTAATAATGCATCTTGTTGAA